ACGGGGATGCTGAGGCTGTGATTTGCTCACAGGGTGCTCCTGGAAGGTGCTGTGGAGGAGCAGGAGGAGCTCCCAGCCCTGAGAGCCGTGGCAGTGGGGTGCAGCATGGCTTCACATTCTTTGGACAGTTTCACAGGGTTTTAGTTCAGGACATTCTCCTGGAGCAGCTGTTCCCATGTCTGGAGGACAGAACTGCCCCTCACCTGCTCCCCCCCCCCCAAAAAACCCACCCCCCTCATTCCACTCCCCATAACAATCCTTAAAAATGCTGTTTTCAAAGCTGGTGTTTGGACATCCTGTAAAGAAATGAAATTCTTTTGAAGTCGGGATAATCCAAGTTATGCAGAAACAGTTTCTGCAGGAAAAGGGGATTAATTAGGACATTTCAGTCCCTTTATAGTTAATCTTAGTTTTGATTTACTCACACTAATCTCCCCCAGCCTGGGGTCAGGCAGGGGCCAGGCTGTGCCTGTGGAGGCTGCCAGGGGTGACTTGGGGATGTTGGGAACAAACCTGACTGTAAGAAAAGCTGATGGGGATCAGGAGGCAGCTGGACAGACTGCCAGGAACAGTCAGGAATCATGGAATATCCTGAGCTGGAAGGGACCCACAAGGACCAACCCCTGGCCCTGCACAGACACCCCAACATCCCACCCTGTCCCTCAGAGCTTTGTCCAAACCCTCCTGCAGCTCTGGCAGCCTTGGGGCTGTGCCCACTGCCCTGGGGAGCCTGTTCAGTGCCAACCACCCTCTGGGGGAAGAACCTTGTCCTGAGATCCACCCTGAGCCTGCCCTGACACAGCTCCAGCCATTCCATGGGTGCTGTCCCTGCTCACCCAGAGCAGAGCTCAGAGCTCTGTGAGGAACCTGCAGCCCCCTGAGCTCTCTGCTCAGGCCCAGTGCCCTCAGCCATCCCTCACAAGGCTTCCTCTCCAGAGCCTTCACCATCCTTGTAGCCCTTAATTAATTGATTAACTGGATTCTCCCTCGCTTGCTGCTGCCTGGCAGTGTCCTTGAGGAGGACACTCCCAGCCTGGCACAAGTCAGCTCAGCTCATTAGTGATGTCAGGAATGAAGCTGGAGCAGAAACTCGAGGCTGTTCTGACTTAAATCCACTGAAAAATCCAGGCAATCCACCCAAGCTCCAGCTTGGCTCCTCAGCCAAACAAGCACTCCCCTCCTGTTTTCACAGGGGCTGCCAGGGGATTCCATACTGAGGGAAAACTCCTCTCCTGTGCAGCCTCTGCCAGCAGCTCCCTGCCAGGAAGCTCAGCTGAGAGCAGGACTAAGTGTTTGGAGGTGCTGAAGATCAGCCTGAACTCTGCCCTGACTCAGGGCAGCGGGGAAGCTCCCAGAAGTGGAAGCATCCTGCCCATCCTGCAGCACTGCTGCCAGGACAATGGCAACTGGGATTTTTTTTTTTTTTTTTTCCATTTCTAAACCAGGAATTAGCATTAGGTTTGGGACAGAAGGTGCTTCCCACCAAAACCCCCCTGGAGTTTTTACTCCTTGCTCTGACAGATTCCAGCTGACTGGGCTGGCTGGAGGGGCCTGGCTGGCATTAAGGAAAAAAAAAAAAATTCTAAAAAGAAGACAATTTAATCCTGGCTCCCAGTCCTCAGGTCAGCAGGAGTGGCACAGCAAAGCCTGACATCCAGCACTGCAGGTCTGTTATCCCCCTTGCTGCCTCACATGGACAGCTTCAAAGCCAGACCAGAGACTGGTTCGGGGGTAAAAAACTGGAAGGTTTTTTTCAGTGCTTTGCAGAGAAACTGTTTTTTTGGTGGAATGCATAGTTTAGCTTGGGAATACGGGCAGGAAAAGGGATAATCAAGGCAAATTTATGTAACCAACTTGCTAAGTGGAACAAAGTTACCTACAATAAAGTGGTTTCCAACTGCTCCAGCAGATGCTGGGCCACACCTGGCCATGGACACATGAAGATTCTTCCCTCTCAAAAACACAGAATTAAGGAAATCCCATTTACTCACAGGTTGGATGGGATAAGGATGTGCTGGGAACAGTTCCCTCCCAAGCCTGACTTCCTGCTCCTCATCAACAACCTGGGAGGTGCCATGGACCTCCCACTTGCTCCAAGCATCTCCCAAGGCTCCTGCTGCCAGAGTGGATCCCCAGGACAGGAATCCCAGCACATGGAACACCAGACTTGCTCCCAGCTGTACCAAAACAAAGGGGTTTGTGTTGCAGACACGTGGTTTGCACTCACAGCTGTGACTGCTGAACTCCTCACAGGAGTCACGTCACCTCACCTACCTGTGAAACTGGTATTCATTCTAATGATCAGTTCTAACAGAGCCTAAAACTGGGATTCACTCTAAATCTGCATCAGGGGAGGGGCAGAATTGGAAGCCACATGGTTAAGCAGGGACAGATCTGCCCCTGCTCAGACAAACCTCAGTGGCTTCCCTGTAATTCCTTACAGATGGAGGGGGTGACTTCCATGAGACTTCCTGGCAAACAGGACACTCTAAAACAGTGCCCACACGGAGGGAGCCCTGGGCTCTGCCTGTCTCAAGCCTGCAGGAGCCAACCCTAAACCAACCAGCATCAAAAGTGCCATACGCTGTCGCTTCCAAATAAAAGCTAAATATTCCAGAACCCCCACGGTGATGGGAAAGGCAGGTTTATCTGAGTTTACTTCCTTCCTTCCCTATCAGGGCAGTTGTTTTCCTGGCTGCAGGATCTCCCCAGCTCAGCTGATATCCCTTGGAGACTCATGACTACAGAGATGTCACCTCAAACCCTACAAAATCTGGCTATGGGAGCACTCCCAGCTCCCTGTGAACCCCACACCCCGACAGCTGCAATTCCACCTGAATTCCAACATGAATGCCAAACACTCAGTCAAAAGATGAGCACTGATGGCACAGAGCCTGGGCTCGCTGCAGGAACAACTGCTGCTGCAGTGGGTTTGCCTTTCTGTGGGATTTTTATCCAAAAAAAAAAGGGCCAGCATGGCTTTGGGATGCAGGGAGAGGGAACCAAAGGGCCAGCTGGGAGCAGAGCAAACCAGATATAATCCTCTTAAAGGGCAGGCAGGCCTGGAGGGACACATGTATGGGGAAAACACCAGCCTTCCCTTCCACCTCAGGTGAAAAAGGCGATTCTAAGCACTATCCTGCCTTTAATTTGAGTTTTCTCTGCCTCATGGAGCATAATTTGCTCCAGAACAAATCCATCATGTATCTGACAATCCTGATTCCTTCAGGAATGTCACCTTCTCCCTGGCTGAGCCCAACTCAGCTTCCCCTGCACTCACATTTGCTGTTACTGGATCTCAGTTTGGCCTGTTTTGCATTTTTTTTTTTTTGCATCATTATTGATTTCATTTACTGGTAGCACCAAAAATCCCCCACCCAGTAAATACAAAGACATTCATAAATCCCTCCAGCCCTTGCTACATTTAGAGAACCAAAACCAAACCCTTTTCATCGGGACTGTTGCAAACTGCCTCCAAAAAAAAAACAAAGAGAATGTGATCTCAGAACGACACTGAATTGTCCAAAAGACATTCTTTTAGGCTCAAAAAGCAGCACCTTGGTCAGGACACAGGAAATGGGAAGCTCGGAGGCCAGAGGAGACCTGGTGTGATGCTGTGCTCTGGCACAACCCGAATTTCTTCTTGCTGGGCTCAATTTGCCCAAGGACAGGGGGGTGAAAGTCCCAGGAAGGGGCAGTGGGAAGAGGAGTGGGATTTGGGAGACTCCCCTTTTCACCCCCTTCCCACAACATCGGGTGTGTCTGAGGGGCAAACACCGACAAGGATAAAAGGAGAAGAGGGAAGAGGAGAAACACACTTGGACAACTTCCCTACCTGAACATGGAACCAATTTTTTTTTTAAGAACCTTGTATTTCAGATTATTTCACCTTTTAACCATTAAAAAAATAGCCAAGATTGAAAGACATCAACGTGTTGTGGGGTTTCCTTTTGCAGTTCCATATTCAGATTAAAACATGAAACGTGAACAGCCAAACCCCAAATTACAAAAACACACCTGAGGTGCAACTGTAGGCTGAGAAGTGACTACAAATAGTCCACTAAGGCTCTGTGCTTCTCACAGGATTCCAAAATCAGGGTGATTTCAGATTTACAGACATTTTTGTAGCCTTTCCAACTCGACGTGGAATTTGAGATTTAACTACATTCCTTCCCTCGGTGGCCCAGCAGGAACAAATTACAAAATACACCCCTCACAGGGTGAATTCTGGGCACTGCTTGGATCCAAGGCCACCTCCCCTTGGCCCTGGGCTCGTGTGACAACCCCAGCTAATGACTGTTCCCACTCCAGAGGCACTGACAGAATCCCACACTGTGCCATTCCCACCACTCCGTTCCCCCTGAGGAGAACGAGCCACATTTTTTTTGTAATAAAGTGGGATTTTGCCACTGTGAGCTGCCCCCACGCCACCAGCCTCCTCTGCCGCAGCTGTGCAAGCCACAGACTGGATAATCCTCACAGTCCTGGGGACAGTGATGCCACTCCAGCAGAAACCTGGAGCGCAGGCTTTGTTTTTGCTGCCAGCTCTGGCACACAGGTACATTCCTGGTTTTATTACAGGGTGGTTTTTTTTTTTTATTTTGTGTGTGTGTGTGTTTAAACACACTTTCTCCAGAGAAGAAACCGCATTCAAATCACATTCTGAGCGAATTTAGCTGCCAGTTGAGTTCAGCCCAGAGAATATAAACCACGGGGGGGGTGACACAGCCCTGGTGGCACTGACACTTTAGCCAGGGCTTTGCCCCCAGCTGATGGAGGAGCATCCCCCTGGCTTCACAGCCCTGCAGTCCCCAGCCACCCTGGCCAGGGTGGCTGGGGACTGCAGGGCTGTGAAGCCAAGGGGATGCTCCTCACCTCCTCCCACGTGAGATGAAACACAGCATCAAATTCCTACCTGCGTTCCTGTGGGCCCAGCTTAGCAACAAGGTTCTGTAAAACCGAGATTCTGGTGTTGCCAGAACTTCCCCCCCAAAGGTGGCAAAGATCCCCGCTCTGATCCCATTCCTGCAGTTTCTCCCCCGCGGAGAGGGGGAAGATGCGAGCGCCAGCGGTTCCAGAAGGAGCTGGGAGCGATGACTGGAGTGACAGGGCTCCCCCATCACGGGAATGCCGGTCTGCTGTCCTTCTCACTGTTCCTGGGTGGCACCTGAGCTTGGAGTTGTTTTTCTGAGATCCCTGCTCCGTCCTGCACCGTCCTTTGAGTGTAAAAGAGGATGTAGGCCTGGGTCCTGCACACCTCCTCCACGCTACATACATTCAGTTTGGAGTCGTTGCAGTGGACCCAAAACCCTGGGGAGCAAAGGGAGAAAAGAGGACATCAGCAAGGGAGGCAGAATTCCTTCTGGGTGCATTTTGAAACTGTTCATAGGAAACATCCACAACGCAAGGAGAAAAAGCATCTCTTGTCCTTTCCTCTACAGCTTTTAATCCGGAAAACATTCTGAGCCTTTTTTATTTTTTTTTTTTTTTCTGTGCTTTAGAAATACCAAATCTTAATGTAATCAGCGATATATAATATCCCAAAAGCTCAATTAGGCAGAGACAAGAATCCCCTGGAGATGGCCAATTTGTCCCCCTTTCTCCAGCCAGGAGGCAGAGTCAATACCAATTCAGCTGCTGGAGCCGCCCCACCCCCTGCGGATGTTATTCATGAATAGTTCCTGTCCAGCCTCAAAACACTTTCTGTTTATCTCCTCATCCCAGGGATAACCGAGCAAAGGCACCCAGCTGGAGCAGCTCCACGGAGTGACTCTGCCTGAGAAAATGAGGCATTCACGGCGCTCCCAGCGGGCACCAGGAGGCTCCCCGAGGGCCGTGGAGCCGCAGCGAGGGGGAGTCACAAACCAACCGCGCCACCAGGGACACAGCGGGGCAAACAGACTGCTGAGCTGGGCCCAGAGGAGCTCTGGCCACGAAGCTTCCCAGCAGCTACCCCACGTCTGCGGGGTAAAAGAGGGGTTTGTGGGGTCGGGCCCCCCGTCCCCAGGCACACGCACCTCCCTCCGTGTTGTAGCAATATGCTGTGTAGTGTCCTGAGCCAAACCCCTTCCCGTGATGCATCACCACAGCCGAGAGGTCATACACAAGGGTCTCTTTGCCAAGAGAGGAGAGAGAGTCCCTGCAGCAGTAAGGTTCCATGTTTAATACCTGCTCAAAGAGGACATGGACCCCGATCTTCTCGCGGTGATTGCGCTCAGACCACCTGCGAACACAAGGGATCAGAGACTTGGGGTCTTGCTCCGGGCTGAGGGGGGTGCACAGGCAGACACTGCTCCACAACCCTCCAGGGAAGCATCACCAACTGTTTCCCTTGTTTTCACTCGAAAATCTCCTACAGCCACCTTGCACACACAGCTCCTTCTGTCACTGATGGCATTAGCGGGGATATTGTTGAGATCACAACAGCCAAACAGCCTTTAAAATCCTCAGTTCTATCAATAAATCCCCCCCACACACCTGGCCTAACCATCTTAGAAGCTTTTCATAATGTTTTGAGTTTTGTCTGCCATTTCTTCAACAGGTAAATACACAATACTGGCATTTAACTCTCACAACCTTCCACCTTCAACAAATCTCTCAGCTCATCGACCGATCATCTCCCAGCCATCCTTCCAAGCTGTCTGCAAACCCAGCAAAGGCCCTCGAGGACAACTCAAGGAAACCAGGACTAATATTTACGAAACATTACGTGGGGGGTGTGGCAGAAAAGATGCTGCAAACAAATCTGCCCCTGATTGCAGTGTGAGAGGGTTTCACGTGCCTGATGGGTAAGAGGTTATCCATCTGCACCCAGCAGGAAGTGAGAGAAGTTATGGGCCCACAGTTCTTCCCAAAAAGCAGAGGCCAGTGTCTCTGCTGACGCCATGGAGGGTCCCCTCACCTGAAGCGTTTAAGGTGCAGCCGGAGGACCTGAGGTAGTCTGTAGATCAGCAACTGCTTTTTAGCTTCACTCAGAACAAGAGGTTTAGGAGAAGACTTTCGCCGTTTGCCTGACACAAAAAAACACACACACACACAAAAAATCAAGGCAATGATTGTTAGGATTTGATTACTTCCCAGGAGAGGAAAATAGCACATGATGACCTCTTCGTTCCAGCAGCAGTCGAGCTCAGGTGTGCTCGGGATGGACACAAAAGGAAATGATAAGGAATCCCTCCACAGGAACTTCTCCAGGATCAAAACTCCCCCTTTTGTGATGCTCATAATCACACAATGAGTTGTCACCTTCAAGCTGCTTGTGCTGATGTTTTGCCCTGAGAAATACACCGGGAACACCAAGACAGAGCCAAGGCCAAAGACACCTGGGGCTGCAGCAGCTCCAGTTCCCACAGGGCAACTCCAGCACACAAAGAGCAGTACCTGCTATCTTATTCTGTCTGCTACTTGCAGCACTAGAATAAGACTTGTAGCAGCCTGCATTAGCTCAAGGGTATCAATACAAGCCAGAAAATGCTTCCAGCAAAGTTCCACCAACAGCAAACAGCCCCTGAACCAAAGCTGGAGAAGAAGGAGAACAGCTCCTCTTCCCAGTGCTTGCTCTTCGCAGGACACTGAACATATGACTGTCCCAGGAGGAGGACAGGTGGCTGTCAGAGCTTCCAATAAGAAATGTACCTGTTAATTAGATTTCTGCACCTCAGTGCACCAGTTCAGAACAGATGGGTGCCTCCTCCTCCAGCACGTCTGACACGCGCTGCCCAGATCATTCCTGGCACCTGGACTCGGGCTGGTGCCTTTCCCTGGCTCTTTCCAGCTGGTTAATGCTTCCCAAGCCATTTAATTCTGAAGTAACCATTAAAATTCAGCTTTCACAAAGAATCAAAGCAAACTGAGTTAAGATGAAGCTGAACTCATCCGCATCGACAATTTGTGAACGTTATTTGTGAATCAGAATCCATTCAAATCATATTTGGCTTTTTTCCAAGAACATCCAGTCAAGGATTATTTCCTAACACTCTGAGAAGATGTTTGGTAACAGATTTGCCAGTTGATAGAGAACAGATCTCTACAAGTATTTGCTACTCCAGCTGCTTAGTTGCAATGCAAGTCAAATCACTGGCGTTTTCCTCCCAGGGGAATGAACGTTTGCCATAAATACCTGCATGAAAAAGAATCCAAATCCAGCTTATCAGAGTGGCTGAGCTGAATGATAACACACAGGCTAAAATGATTTTCAGGGATATAATGACCTTTCACTCAGAGCTGCTGCAGGAAAGCAAAGTCATCTACTAGCTGAGCACAGCAAAATGTGTGCATCACCTCCCAGGTAATAACACATTACCTGAGCCTCCCTGGATACTGCCAGGTCAGTGCTTCCCAACAAATGCCCACAGAGGGATGAAACTCTCACCTGGCACAGCTACACACCTTGAAAACTCTGATTTCTGGGTCAAGGATTCAATCAAGAACAAGCAGCATAGGGATGATGTGTCAGAAAAGCTTTCCTGCCACACAGAGATGAGTAAAAGCACAGGGGATAAAGCCCTTCTTTTGCCCCTAAATCCAGCCCCCTCTCTTCCAAAAAATTCTTGAAGTCCCCTCCAACACAAGTGAGAGCAGTTCTGAACAGGCTGGTATCAAAACTGTAGTGAATTGTGCTGCTGAATGGCAGAGATGAGAGATAAACGACACGTCAGGTCCCAACTGGAGCCCAAATGAGCAGCATCTACCAACGGCAGGAACCAAACCAGCAGGAGCAGCCCAGAAGAAGAGAGTTTTCCCACCCAAGCAGGCCACAAGCCGTGTCCCCAGGCACACAGCTGGTGCCTCCAGAGCCCACTCACTGTTGCACTGGTCGCAGGCGTAGATCCTCCCCTCCAGGGCCTCGGTCTCGGTGAACTTGGCCAGCATCTCGGTCAGCAGGCACTCTGCCTGCTGCACTGGGACAATGCCCTTCTCCAGGGAGTGGTAGCGCTCGGGGAACTCCAAGGAAAGGTCCCAGAAGGGCTCCACGGTGTTGGATTTGTAGTTGCACGTTGTGCAGGTGACCTGGGGATGGAACAAACACACAAATACTGCTCTGGAACCCCACACTGGCACGGACTGTCACAGCCACGGGGCAGCTTCGTGCCCAAAGGGCAGAGCAGTTCCACAAAGATCTGTGAGTCAAGGGAAACACTTCTTATGTCCAGCCTGAAAGCAAATAATTTAAAGCTTCTTTCTCTCTTCACCTTTCTGGGATTTGCTTCCTTCCTCAGACAAACACCTTTACAGGTGGAACACCAGTTCACAGTTGGCACACTCAGTGTCTCAAGGTGACTTTCATATGCTGGCAAAATACTGTCACAGAGCTTGTTCTCTAAAACAACAGATGCTCTCCCTGACCCTCATCATATTCTTCCTAGACATGGAAACAACACCAAAAAGGGACAAAACAAAGGAAAAAACACTTTGAAATCACATTCAAAACTTAAATCTAAGGGGTCAGAACTTCTGTGCTTGTGCAGATTCCATCCTGAAGCGACAGAAGCCAAGTGAATTTATAATGAACGTGACAAACATGGAAACGCTGACACCTGCACAGCAACCTTTCTCAGGAGGTGCTCCTAAGCCACTCCTCACATATCCGGGGGTCCTCAACACACAGAGCCTTTGCTCCCCGGTGTGAATGGCTCCAAATGATCCCTGCGCCAGGGCAGGCCCGTACCTGGCTGAGCAACTGCCCGTGGAAGATGGTGTTGACCACCTTGAGGACCTGCTTGGTGAGCTTCCTCTGCGAGAAGGGGATGAGGATCCTGCGCTTCGTTCCTTCCGACTCCAGCTCCTGCTGGACTTTATCCAGCAGCTCGCAGAGGAATTCCTGAGCGTCCTGCTGATCGTAGCCCCGGAAGGCCGGGATCAGGCTCCACACGGAGTGCAGCATGGCAAAGGGGGACACGAGGGCCCACTTGCCAGACCACATCACTCTGAAGAGGGTGTGCAGTTCGTGGCAGAGGGAGATGTGCTTTGAGCTCGGCTCCTTGGGCTGGATCAGTTCTAAGCTTCGGCTTATGGAGGAGCTCCCATTTAAGCCAGCTGGCGAGCTCTGCGTGCCAGATGATCCCACTTTGTCAGTCTTCCCCGACTCATTAGCAGCAGACCCATTTGCCAGTTTGCCAGGGATCCTGGCCCTCCCGTTCACAGTTTTAGCCAAGAGTTCTTCTGTTTCACAGAGATCGAGTGTCAGGAAACATTCTCTGAACTTCTGGAGGTGACTCAGCACTTGCAGAATGGAGTTCATGTAACACGTGTTCCCCAGGTTCCTCAGCCCCGTCACCCCGGGCGTCATGAGGGGCTGGCGCCGGATGGAGTAGAACTGTCTGAACCTGCTGCTCTGCACCTGCCTTGAGGTAGGGGAGGAGGCCACCTCCCTGAATTTCCTTGGAATCAAGTTCTCCCTGTGCACGTGGGACAGCAGCCTCGCGCTCTTCCTGGGGGGGGTGTTCGCCAGCTCCTCCAGGAGCTGCCTCTTCATCTCCTGCCGCCGCTGCCGAGCCGCCTCCTTCTTCTTCTCCAGCTCCTCCAGCTGCTTCTTCTGCTGCAGTTTCAGCTGCCCCCGAGAGCTCCTGTCGAACCAGGTCCGCAGCGCCCTCGCCAGCAGGGCCTGGCGCCGGTGCCAGAGCGCCGTGAGCATCTGGGACTGCCCCGGGGGGCTCGTGCGGCGGCCGCGCGCGGCCTCCCCCAGCGCCATGGAGCGCAGCGTCCGCCCGCCGCGCCCCGAGGCGTCCTGCCTCTGCCCCTGGATGGCCGACAGGGAGCTCCTCAGCAGCTTCAGGTCCCCCTCGGGGTTGTCGTTCAGGACGTAGTCCTGGCAGAGGTAACAGAACACGTACAGGTCGTGCACCTCCATGGCCAGGGGGTGCCGCGTCTCCTGGAAGTGGCGCAGCGCGTGCTCCTCGATGTAGCGCCCGCAGGCCACGTGCGAGCACTTGAGGCAGGCCCAGAGCGACTCCGTGGTCTGGCAGTCCACGCACCGCCACTTCTGGGGGTTCAGGATCGAGTGGTCCTGGGCGAGTCGTAGCCGCCCGACATGTTTGCATCTATCCATGTCTCACAGGAGTCGGCGCTGCTCTGACCTGCGGAGGCAAAAGGAAAAGGGAAAGGGGAAGGATTTTAGAGCCGCGACAGGTATGCAAAATTTCTGTTCGTGGTGGAGTGGTGGAAGGGACCCACAGGGATCAAAGTCCAACTCCTGGCCCTGCACAGGACGCCCCCAAATCCCACCCTGTGCCTGAGAGCATCGTCCAAACACTCCTTGTGCTCTGGCACCTCTGGCAGTGACCACTGCCCTCCTTTTGTACCAGACCTATGAAAACACCGATGTCGTGTCTTGTCAATCCCTGAACCAACGACACTATTTCTGTGCACAGTCTTTTTAAAAGCACCAGTGAAAGATATTGGATGGACCAGGTCTAGAGAATAAAGCTCTATCTGTCTCCTAAGGCCGGCCCAGACAGCTGCCAGCACGTCTGACCCAATCCACGGAGAGAAGGATTCATTCAGTCCACACACACGTTTGATCTTTAGCTGCCCCCTTGAAAGTGATACACTCAAAAGGAATTTGGAATTGGAATGCATATCATCAGGAACCAGACTGAGGTTACCAACTTCAGGCAGAAGCCACTGAAATATCAGATTATGGCGGTAACAAGAGCGTTTGTCCTCAGGCTTTACATTCTGCCCCCGAACTCCCTGATTTCCCACAGCCTCCCAAACATTCCAGTGCTGAAAAAAAAAATCAGCATGGGGAAAAAAAAAAAAATTCAACGTGTAGCACCACGTAGGGGAAACCTAAAGGAAAATCTGCGTGTGGACGTGAGACACACAAACCGAGAAAGCAGCTGATTTACTGAGCGACCGCTGGAACTGCAGGGACATCCGAGGAGGTGCAAAGAGTGCAGCCCCGTGAAAAGCCCAGCTGAACCCTGGCGTGCCAGCGCTGTGGATTGTGCAGTGCAGCCCCTGCGGGGCTCTGGTCCCAGGGAAGGAGCTCAGCCCCACACGCTACTCACGGGGCCGCGGTCACACATCCTTTCCTCCGCCACGCAGCGTCCCGGGCGCGGAGCAGCCCCATGTTCCACGCGAGTCCTGGCTGCTTCGGGGAGAATTTAATCACCAGTTAAGCCTTCACTGCCAGGCAGCCCGTCTTCAAAGCCCTGCAGAGAGAATATTCCGGTGATGCACAGAAACAAACCCAGGCAGGGCTGGTTTGGAGCACCATTAATTAACCCCCTCGGCGCGCACAGGACACGTTTATTACGGGCACCGGAATTATCTGGAAGCCAAAGCCCGCTCACACCCAGGAACCCAAATTCTCAGATGTTCACACACGTCACACGCAAAGAGGCACTCTGGAATTTCATTTTCTGCTTTCATTTTCGGGCAAGCTGTAAATCTGCTGATCACATGGGGCCTCTTCACCGCTGAGTCTTTTGTAGTGGATGACCCAACATATGGCAGAGGAAAAATGGGAGTTAAAAAAAAGTGAGGGAAAAACGTGCCCCTCCTGTGATCACTTGGATTTTGGCTGCTTCGATCACTTGGTGAACGAAGGGGGAGGAGATGGGGGAAAGATTAAAAAAAAAAAAAAAAAAAAATTTGTGCTGAATAAATTTCATTTCTAGGTGATTCTTCAAGCAATAAAAAGGAAGTAATGAAGAGTCGTCAAGTGTGAACTGCAGCAAAATAAGAACTAGAGAGGAGAGAAAAATGGGTAAAAACCTGCCAAAAGGTAGAAGAGGTGGTAAAAATGGATCTGTTGGAATAATCCAGGAGAGACTGAATTAAGTTGCTTCCACAGCTACGACTACAGTACTGAACACACACATAGCAGTGACAGGGGACAGCAATCCCAGGCACAAAGTGGTTACAGATGGCACAGAGAGTGTAGGACCTGGCACACAGAATATTTGGTTAAAAAATCATTTTATGAGGGGCAAAGTTTAACACAACAAAGGCCCCAGCACACCCTGCCAAAGGCTTTGGGACAGAATTGAGCCACCACCTGGATAGGTGGGCAGAGACCTGGCCAGGCTAAGAAAATGGATTTTTAGTGGTCCTAAATTATGCAAGTCTGCTTTATTCACTGCCTTTTTCGGTGATATTGCTGTTAAAGATGGAATCTCTTCAGGAAAAAAAAATCAAAGCTCTTCAGTTCTTTCCCTCTCCTCCACTCCAGATTAAAGCTCAAGTGGCCACTTCAGCCCCCGCCTCCTGGGGGGACCCACGGTGCCTGAAGAACCATCTGAGCTGTTTATTCAAAGGGGCTCAGAAACCTTCCCACCTCTCCTTTGGGCTGGGCTCGTTCCCTCCCAGATCCCAGGACCTGGAAAGGCACTTTTGGAAATCCTGCTCTAAACAAAAGACCGATCTGGTCTCCTCTTTCCAAGTTGGAAACATCCCCTCCCACCTTCCTCCCTCCCCACCTTCCTCCCCTGACCCTTTTTCCCCCCGTCTTTCTTTATTTCTCTCCTCAGGTCTGGATAAAAAATTGTGCAATAATCCTGTCTGGGCTTGGTGAGACCAAGTGGCAGAGATTCCAGCTTGAGAGAGTATAGACACTATGGTAACATTGACAGCCTTCATTTACATAAAAGAATACTAATTATGTTGTATCATCAACATCTGTGATTCTGCTCACTGCCATATGCGACAGTGTGGGGAATTTAACCCTTGAGTCTCACCAGCGTGTTCTGAGGAACAAAAACTGGGCCTTATGCACACAGCTTTCCAGAGAATAATCAAACAGCCAGTTCCTCACCACCCTTGCAAGCTCTCAGGACACGGTATTTTCAAAACCCACTAGATTTATCCCCCATTTCCAAGGAAGGAGAACCAGTGGTGCTGGTTCCAGCTGGGTAACAGGCTACCAGGAAATCAATCCCACACCAGATCCAGAGCATCAGGGAATCGTGTTTGACAATGCAGGAGGCTGTCAGGAGATAAATCACCAGCCTTTTGTCAACTGCTTTTGCTTTTCCTGTGTGGGCCAGGAGATTTCCTGCTTGCAAAGGGAAAGAGATTCTGAGCACGGTGGGGCAGTTGACAGAGCAGCTTTGTTACACCTTAATTCAGTCATTCTCAGCACAAAAGCATCTTTGATGCTGCGGGTGATATTCCCCACCTGGTTCTCTTTACGCATCCACAGATAATTCCCTTGCAAAACCAAGCCCTAATTCCCTGTACCTTGGGCTGCTCTCAGAGTTAGAAAGAAATGGTGTTTATTTAACCCCAAACCACTCGAATGAGAGGTTTTCCTCAGAGAGGGGATTCTCCACCCACCACACTTCAGAGTTCGTCTTCACATTAAAGGTTTCTCTTACTGACTCGTACTTTTGAGCCCTTCCATGATTTAAAAAAAAAAAAAAAAGGATTAAAACTGACTCTCCCGTGAACCAAAGGCAGCTGGAGCAGCTGCAGGTCCAGCCCTGCAGCCCCCACACCCCAGAGAGCAAAAGGAGCCACTGAAACACTCGCAGATGAGAGAGAAGTTTCCCTCTCTTTTCCACAGGTACACAAACAGTTGGCCACAACCTCCTCGCAAGAACAGGCTCCCAGGAGGAATGACAGGGCTGGGATTAAAGGAGAACACCACCCTGAGTCAGAACCTGTAAACAGGGGGGAAAACAAACCTGGCTGAGATCAGAGGGCTGGAGCTGCTTCGGAGGCTGCAGGGCCCGAGCACAAATCGCTGTGGTCGGTGTGACAAACCATGAGCAACACGAGGGTTTAATGATGGAGAATGAACACCTTGGATTTTAAAAGCCTTGGAAACAAACACACAGAGCTCTGCTCCCTGCAATTATAGTTTGTCACGTTTAATTCTGGGGCTTGCAGTTTATTTTTTTTTTCCCATTAAGGTAGATGTCATTTTAAAGAATCTCTATAAACTCCTCCTTTCTCACCTACTCGGATCTTTCCCAGATAAGGGCTGGGGGAAGGAAAACAGGGAAGAGGGATGAGTTGATTGCTCTGCATGGAGAAGAGGCACCAGCAGCAGGAGGAGCTGCACTGCAATGCACTAAACATGAGTAAAACTGAAACAAAGTAATAGGGAATGAAAGAAAAATAAGGACATTAGTTTAGCCAATAATATTTTAGGGACAATTTGAGTATTTCCCACATTGCAAATCACTTAAACACTGGGTCAAACCCTACCTTCCTTCCTTGCATGGATCACAACCCTGGAAAAACTCATGGCAAGAACCTCTAACAGCTTCAAGAACCAAACGCAGCAGAAACAATTTGGCTCCTGACCCCAAAAGAGTGTTAAAATAAACCACATGATTTCATTATGCTTCTTTGTCCCATTGTTACACATTTGGAACCTGATTAAAGACATCTGTAGGGATCTGTTGACACCAGCTACTTTCTGTTTCTAAATCAATCTGCAGGAAGCAAAAAGAACAGGGATCAGGAGAGGTGCTGGATGTTTGGCCTTGGAATGATGCCTCTTTTATTTGTCCAACAGTTGACTCCACTCTTGTCCAAGAGTGTTCAGTACTGGCACAAACCCCTGGAAATCATCCTTGAGGACAGGTGGGAAGCTCAGACTGAATGATTCTTTCATTCATTCCTTCCTCCCTCCCCTGGGAATGGCAGCAGTGAAACACAGCAGCATTTCACCAGCCCACTGGGAACTGGTCCCACATTAAATAAAGCACATTTGCCCCTTTTTTTTTTAACTCCTCCCTTTGTTTAAAAACACTGTAGGAAAAAAAAAACATCCTCAGGTATTCCTGGTTTCCATCAAAAGTAACATAATGAACATCCAGCATTTGGTCAAACTGCAGTGACAGGACAAGGGGATGGGTTCAAACTGATAGAAAAGGAGGTTAGATGGGATGCTGGGAAGAAATTCCTCCCTGGGAGGGTGGGGGGGGGGCCCTGGCACAGGGTGCCCAGAGAAGCTGTGGCTGCCCCTGGATCCCTGGAAGTGTCCCAGGCCAGGCTGGATGGAGCTCTGAGCAACCTGGGCTGGTGGAAGGTGTCCCTGCCCAGGGCAGGGGGTGGCACTGGTGGCACTTTAAGGTCCCTTCCAACCCAAACCATCCAGTGATTCTATGATACTATGAAATAGGTTTAAAAATTTAGATGCAAAACCCCAAGTGCTTTCCACTCCCCCCACCCAATAACCCATTTTTTATGCGGAACTCTGGATTTTCCACCCAAAAACGCAAAACATGGCGACAGCAGAGAGGAGAGATCTCTAAAACTGCACACAACGGCTCCAAAACGTTATTCCCTGTGATTGTTTTAACCTCCCCGTTTGTGAGGAACCAATTATTGAACCAGATGTCTAATGAAAACATGTAATCTGAGCTGCACTGGAGATGGGGGAAAGAAATTCCTGCTCCAGCATTCATGTTCCAGTTCTAAGGGTGTGCTCACAGCAAAGCCCTGTATTTAGAGAATCTCAGAATCACTGAGGTTGGGAAATCCCTCCAGGACCAGCCAGTCCAACTATAGTTGGACTGGCTGGTCCTGGAGGGATTTCCCAACCTTGTCCCCCAGCCCAGAGCACTGAGTGCCACGTCCAGCCCTTCCTTGGACTCCTCCAGGGCTGGGGACTCCAAACCTCCCTGGGCATCCTCTGCCAAGGCCTGACAGCCCTTTCCACGAGGAAATTCCTCCTGAATTCTTTCTCACCTCTCAAAGACTCTGGCAATGACACTTTTCCAAGCAGAAAACAACAAGAACTGTCACCACCACATCACCACCCTCTGCCCTCAGAGGAATATTCCCCATTCCTAAAGCGAGCCAGTGCCTGGAAAGGATGAAATAACCTTATCCTGCCTTTTTTTTTTTTTGCTACACTCTCTCTTGCTTTCTGGTGAACTCCAAGGAGCCAGAAAAGCCACCAAACTCCTTCGGTTGGGCGGGAATAAATTCATGACTCCAACAAAAAGACTTGGCACCGCCGTGTCCTCTAAGAGCCGTAATTCCAACTTCACACAGGCCAACAAATCTCTGCACATGTGTCTTCTATCCACATTCCTTCCCAGCGAAGACCCCATTAAACTGGAGCCAGCTCGACATTCCCTACCAATGGAGCTGCAGTTCAGGGTTTGAAAACAATCATGGCAAGGCAGAGGGAAGGTGAAAACCCTCCTTTCACGCAGGAATGGGCCGTTCTGTGCTTACACTGCCATTCAAATCCAGCCACACTGGAGTCTGAACTTGGAAGATTTTTAAAATTTAAAGTATTTTAAAGATGAAATAGGAATATTCTTATTAAGCCAAACTCACGCTGTCTCTCATCTAAGAGATAAACAAAAATGGGTGGCTAAACCCCAGCTACCTGTACTTTTCATTTCAGCCCTTGACTTCAGCTCAAAGAATCAATTTCCATGTGCAGTATTGACTCCATATTCTTCAGAGCCACTGTAAAACACACAAACAAATAAGATCCATGTGCTACAGGTCCCTGAAAGTGTGGGAATTACTACTTAACCACTCTGGATGTTAAAAAGCATTATTAAAATGCTACATACACCTCAGCTCACGGCTTTCCAGAAGTTAATGTTTCTTCATTTACTACAACACATCAAATCCCTCCTCCCCTCTCCTTCCATAGGCTTCGAGGTTTTATTTTTGGGCTGGCTTTCTGCAGTGTCAATAAGCTGAGAAACACGATCTGCACGCCCCGTGCACAGAGTGTCCCTCTCTGGACACTAAAAGAGTTCCCAGAGTTTCCTCCGGCCCTCCTGGACCAGCCCACAAGGGAAGGAACCAGCACAGCAATTCCCTGGCTCTCCCATCTGGAGAAGCCTGAAGCAATTACAGCAAACACATACAACTTGAATTATCAGACTCAAACAGGAAAAAGGACGGAATTAGAACAGGCTGAAAGCAGACACCGACTGCCCGGCGGAAAGTTGTAATTTCACTTTACGAGTCAAGCAACCAACCTGACAGGACCCACGAATTCCCAAAGAATTGTTTCCACAGATCTGACAGAGAGCGCCATGTCATAGTGTCCTAAAGTTTTCCACCTCTTTGCCCCCAGACATTCCTCCTGAAACACCTCAGCCAGAGCAGGAGC